AGATTTTAATGAATTTCAGTTGACTTTCTTGAACACATCTAGAACATTAGAGTATCGGATCTCTTACCTTTTCGCCAGACAGGTCTTCTTATATAACTACGACAGAGTACTTAAACAAGGTAGAAACAAATGATATAGGCATATATTTCAATTTTCCTAGCTTCAGGTGGACTTTATAATTACACACTTTGGAAAAAAAATGACCAGTTCAAAAGTACATGTATTTCGCTTCACAACATTTTGAATCGAGAGTTGCGGTATGAGACTTTAAAAACGAGTGCCACGATTCATGGTAAGCTTTGACAAGATAAAGATTACTGCCCAATACCTCTGTCTGTTTGTTTGTATGTTGTTTTACGACCTCCTCGAAAATTTTTCACTCACATGGAGAAGCCACCATCTGCCGGTGGAGAGCTGCAACTTTTGTCCTATACTCTGCACTGACAGCCATTGAGCAGTGGTGGATCTTTTTCGTACCCGCACCTTCTGCGAAACCGAACCTTGGTTTTATACGTCTCATTTGAAGAACTGGTTTCGACGTCCCAAAAGGGGATTCGAACTCGCGACTTAATTGGAATACTCCTTACTTCGCTACTCTAGAGCAGACACCCTAACCACTGCGCCACACAGGTGACAGCTAAATTTCTGTTAAAGTCCATAAAGTATTAACATCTTTCTCTTCTCTTGTCTAGGCGACTCCAGTCTTCCTTATTTGGACTTAAATTTGACATTTGACATGCGTATCCTAAATCCAGTTTAATCCCTCCAGTACATTCTATCTCCGTGACTAATTTCTCTCTTAAGATTTACTCCGAATAAGAATTTCCTACTTGCCATCACGCGATTAAGAAAATAAGTACACTTAAAATATTGTCCTAGTAGCGAATTAGGTCAGTGCTACATGTATAAACCATATTTCAAGCTAAGAAGAATGTGTTCCTTCTAGCTCTGTCTGAGAAAGAAAATAAAGCGAGAATACATTTTTTCGCCAAGTACAAATTTCTTAAAACTTGTTTAGAGGACCTTGAATCAAGGTCGGAACCTTTCACTCCAAGGTCACTTATCAACTATGGTCAAGAACTTGATAAGTAAACTTCGATCTCTGAGAAGAGCACAGGTCATGGTATAATTGTAAGAATCATTTTATCGCCCGCTTGGCGCATTGGTAAGAGAGTCTGCTCTAAAGTCGCGGAGTTTATCCTAACGTCGGGGGTTCGAATTCCACTGTGGGACGTGGAGACCGGTCCTTCGGATGAGGCCGTGTAAACCGAGGTCCCGTGTCGCAGTAGATGCTGGCACGAAAAAGATCCCTCACTGCTCAATGGCCTAGAGTGTCGAGTATAGGACAACATTTGCAACTCTCCACCGGCAAACGGTGCCTTCTCCATATGAGTGAAAAATTCTCGAAAGAGACATTACTAGTATAATCAACTAACACGTAACTAAAGGTATATAGTCAATCGGCAATCCTCGGCTGACTCCGCTCCGCTCCATTCAAACCTCGGATGTGATTGGTGGAGGAATCATTACATTTCTCCGTGCCTTATCACTCATTTCATATTTCGCTCTGCATAACGTTCTTCGAAAATGTTTCTTAATTTGTGCAATTCTTTATCGTGAACAGGTTTTTATTACATCCTCATGTTAATATGCTTTGAAAGCAAGAAAAAACTGGTGAGTGTACCACAAAAATAACTCCGATATCAATTGTATGAAATTTGAATGAAATTCAAATAAGATCACATGACTGAATCAGCAAGATGGTAGATCACCGTTGACGTCCGAGGTTATGTGCTCTCTCTCTCTTATATGTAAGTTTCATGCATGTTTGTTCAGAGAGAGAGAGAGAGAGAGAGAGAGAGAGAGAGAGAGAGAGAGCAATCTGGATAAGCCCTAGGGATAAATAGTGAAATCTGTAATGTTTTGCCATAATATGGTCCGAATTCTAAATAAATATCATTTATCTGTGTCGGGGGAGCTTGAGCAATCGATTAGCATCCCAATAGGGAAGTGAATTAAACAATCTAAATGCCACCAAGGGTAAAATTTATTATCAACTGTCAAATCGTTAGTACATGTATACATGCAGGAAAATTTCCAATATTATACCTTGCAATAATGCTTTTAATTAATACATGTAATTGCTTTAGTAAATCAAAGCATTCTCTACAGTTTTAGACAATTGTGGGTATATCAAATATCTTGCATTTTCAGGAGAGTTTCAAACTTTACAATTGGTATTGTACATCTGTCAATTTTACCTCCATGATAGAAAAATATAAATTTTATTTTATTGCTAATGATATACTAAAAACAACTTTTAAAATCTTTCCCGAAACATTCCGAGTACAAGCGTTCAATACCAAACGCCCCGTTGTAAACAAAACAGAAAAAAATGTCGTCTGGTCATGCAACTGCTCAACGACAATATTAAAAAAGAAAAGTGGCAGCAAGGTAAGATGTGTCCATTTTCACACCATATTGAAATTATTAATTAGGCCTAAGTACCTTCAAAAACTTCAATAAATAAATAAAAAACTATTGGACTGGTTATTGGAATAATGTGCTATTAAATTAATAAATACTTGCAGGAAAGACACTGATATTGGACTATTTTAATCTGTCCGGCCCGTGCACCATTTGTCAAACCCTGACTACTAATTGAAGGCCTATTCCTTAATATCTAGATATTTCCAGGCATGTAAAATATGAAAACTATATTTTAAAAAAATTTTAAAAAACGCCTGGAAAACGAGATATTTCGGGCTATTGTAGGCCCTACGTTTTTGTTAATATTGGCAACTCATGCCCATATTCACCAATTTAATTAAGTTCAATTGATAACCCTATAGCATTACGATATTTTAATTAAATAATTGTATATCCCCCCTTCCCTTTAGGGTCCGTGAATAAACATGTGTCATGTGGTCCTCGTTTGTGTCTGATTGATTTGCATATCTTCATGGATGTAGTACGTTTTAGATTTTTTCAGACTTATTGGCCCTATGAGTCAAAAAAGGGCCAAAAATTTTTTGGGATTACATATCATTTTGTATACCAATTCAAATTACAAAAGCTCATCATATATATTTTGGAACTTTCTCCCCTTCTCCCGGTTTATTTTATCACAGAAGTTTTTTTTTTATTTATCTACACAAAATCTTATCCAGGAAAACTCTTGACCCAGAAGCCCCATTAATAAAGTAATCATAGCTAACATGATTTCATACACTAACATCTGTCAATATCATAGGGTTAGTGACGATTCAATTTTTAGTTCTTTTATCTTCGAGATCGTCCGTCACTAACGCAGAGGTAAATAACAAAGTAATAATGAATAAAGAACATTCACGCCAGTATTATAAGATTGAGATCTGATAATAGAATGGGGTTTTATGAAGTTGAATGAGTCTTGTTAGCACATTTAATTATATGACTTTTAAAAATTACATTGCAGAGAACATGTCAGTCATACATGTTATAGAATTGGGTGTCCGTTTTACAAAAGAACGTACGACTAAGACCAAAATTTGATTCTGCTCATTACTTTCTATTTTACATTTATTTTAATTTTGTCTTATCTTTTGAAAAAGAACAAACCATTTTCTATGCAAGCAATTTCAAAAAGAATGAATAATTCTACAAAACTTTACTTTCAACTAAAGATTTTGATTTTGGTTTTAGTCGTTAAGTTCTTTTGTGAAACGGGCTCCATGCAGGTCTATTAACTCTCTCTCTCTCTCTCTCTCTCTCACACACACAAACTTGCAAATGTACTGTACAGTGTACAAGTGCATAATTGGGGTTAAAAAAAAACAAACTTCATTCAGAAGTCAAACTGAATTTAAATAACTATTTTTGGAAGTTAACATTGACCTGCCACTTAGTAAAGTTAAATAATATTTGAACAACTGTTATTTAGATTGTAACTTACACGAAATGAAAAGATAGGATCAGACCTTTATTTATTTTTAGTATAATTACTCTAATTATATCCCTTTTCACTTTTTCTTGTTAACATTTATTTTACTCTATTTAAATTTTGAAAGAAATAGTAACATTTCCCCTGGCTTTGATTTAAAAAATGCTTTTAAAAACGTAAACGCTGAATTTAAACCTAAATAGTAAATACATGTACATGTATTTCAGTATATAACAAAATATTGCTTTAACAAATCTCTTTTTTTCTTTTGAATGGCTCAATGACTATTATACAAAAAATGCACAACGTTCTTCCAATCATGGTTGTGCATTTAATTTATTTAAGATATTTAAAAATACGTAGTAAATGTAAATCTTTTACAGCAAACGAATTCAGTTATTTATTTACTGCGTTAAAGTGGCCATTGTATCAAATATTTATACCTATTTATCATAAATAAACAACCTTGCTGGTGAATTTTAATTGAACAGCGTCTACATAATGCACATGTATCTATAGATGTAAGTTTTAGGATTTTTCGACATAATAAGAGAAACAACACAAACTGGTTTGAAAACGTATTCAAATCTGTTATCCGATAGGAATATGTACGTACTAAAAACTAATGTAGAAGTAATTAATTAATGTGCATAATAATTGGATTCTATTTCAGTAGCTGTTACTTCAATGCTTATTATCATTACTTAGATAACAAAGTTATGTAAAAATTGTAAGTAATATAAAGGATTTTATCAATTTTGTTTCATTCATTTTTCTTCAGTTCGAGCTTGTGGTTTATATACCGAAATTTGAAATGCGCATGCACTGCATCTTTTATATTGACCAATCCTTACGAAAAAGCCAAAGAAATGAAATATAAATTTTGAGTAATATTCCAAATACTAGGATTTAAGTTCAATCTTCAGCAAAAAAAAAAAATCCCATCTAAGAACTAGTCTCATTTAAATACTTTAAAGGAACTGCAATAGTAAGTAACGAAAAATGTTGCATATCTGAAAACATGCTAGCAAATTGCAAGCGGAATTAGAGTTAAACAAAACAAGTAAATCTTACTCACGGTTTACATATCTTGGAATCTGAACGTGTTCCAGTTGCTCCCGTGAAGTTTTATCGGCATTGTGTAGAATATTATGTCATTGAGGATAGTAATCGTTGGATCGATTAATTGAGAATGATTCATTTACAAATTAATGCGCTTTGTCTTGTAACATTCAGGCTTAGAGGCGCTGGAATGGGCAAAATTGAAAAAATAAATTCTGGCAGGAGTGACACTTTAAAAAAGGATATCTAAAATTGTCTTTGTAGTAAGCGATACGAAGGTCTGAGTTCGCGGACAGCAATTTTAAAGACAATATCAGAACTCAAAACAAATATTATTTCGAAAACGTGTGATTTTTTCCAAAGATCTGACCTTGCAGTAGAAACCTAAAATATAATAATAATTTTGTACCCAAGATAATATTTGAACATACAAGTTCCTCTTGTTGGTATGTTAAATTGGGTATCGTTGTCAAGTCTAAAGAAACATCGTAATCATTGAATGGGTGATAATTACAAATCTGGCCCAATGTCTATCTCGGTCTCAGCTCCATTGAAATTTTCATTAAAGCTCCCATACGCTAGAATTGCATTATCACTGTTGTTAAAAGCTGGATAATTATTGTGTAGAAATGTTAAATCGTAGGCTTACCCACTAACAGAAAGGGTGACTTTATTGGCCATTTTGGGACCATTGAAAAAGATTTGACCTATATTTTCCTCTTGTGTTCTACAGCATCGTTTGACGTCATCAGTCATCTTCAATCCACTTAGTTGTTAAAGACTTCATTTAATTGTCACACATCTGCAAAGAAAGTCATATGGGAAAAATTACAAGTTAGCGTAACGCAGCATGATGCTAGAAATTCCAAACTGCACTATGTCGTTAATAATGAGAGTACGTATAAAACTATCGATGAATTTAATCTTGTATAGTGAAACGCTTTGGAATTCGTTCTCCTTTGAAATGTAACTGTTCTTTGAAGACACTTTATATGTTTTTCTGTTCTTTTTATTATGTACATGTATTTCTATATCAATCTTAAATTTTGGTAAACTATTCGAAGCATTGGCTTCACAAGATATTTTGCTTTTTTCTTTCTTTTTTCATTTTTAGTAAATATAGATTTTTACTTGGAGTAGTAACTAAAATAAAATTAAAAATTCTGATGATACATGTTGCGAACTGTCGCAATTTTAATGTATTTTCTAGAATTTTGATGATGTACATGTATAATCTAGAATGTTCTATATGTTACGAGAATGAATTATCAAGAAGTCTTTAGAATATGTCAGAATGTAATGACTAGAATTTTATAGAAGTTTCTATTTCAAGATATTTCAGTAATACTATATATATGAGAGTTTTTGTGATCTTAAATATATATTGAAAAAATTATTGAGTTTATTGATTCAAGGTAGAAGAAAAATTGAGTACATATCAGAAACATTCTGATTATCTTTGCCAATGTGGTATTGTAATTGTTATCCCCTGTGGATTTGTTATTTGCCTTTAATTGTCAAAATAAATTATAAAAAGAAGATTTCCGTGTGATTGTGATTTGCCACAATACATACATATTTAAGATCTAAGAATTTAGAGTAAATGTTCAATCTTTTACCTCAAATGCTCTCACAATAATGCACTGACATATAGCCAACATTTTGTTATAATAATTTGTATCACATTTTTTGTCTTAAATAGTAGAATTCCCCAGTTGTTATAATGTAGAAAACGTATGCTGCATAAACGGCTAAATTACAGAAAGAATTTTAACTTACCTTGAGTAAAAAATCGTATAAGTTGTCTTCATAAATTTTAATTTTCCAGTACACGAAAGTCAAGAGAAGAATTAAGAATAATATATAAATAAATAAAATAAACATCATCTTACAAAAAAAGAAAAAAAAAACCCTTATTTATTAGCCTTATAAATCGTCGATTTATATCGCACTATATCAAAGATTTCCACAATATAATGGTGTTCTGTGACTACCTTTTTCATTTGCATTTGACTCAATGTTTACAATGGACGGCAGATTTAAATCCCACACGCGAACTGTTCTGTTATTTATGAACTGTCTCCGTTATTAGGAGTGTGTAACTACCTTCCACAGATCGTTAATATGCAAATGGACCCTCAGGTGCTTAGGTTTAAATTGGAGCTGAAAAATTCAGGAAAAAATTCCTGGATTTCTAAGTGCGAACTTATTGCAATGATGTCGTAGTTAAGAATTAAACATTTTATGCATATGTCATAAACATAATACACCCGGTTACTACATGTAGCCCCCTACCAACCCCCAAACCAACAAATTCAAAAGAGGGTTAATATATCTTTTAATTATATTTATATTTAACTTTTTTTTTATCAATATGTACATGTAAACGTATGAGTCAAAAAGACAAAACTCAATGTCGAAGTACCCTTAAGTTTTTAGGAGCGAAATGAATGTTTGCTTTCACTTTTTCAATCCCACAACATAAGTCACAATTAAAACAACTATTACATGTATTTTAAAAATAATATTCCCATTTAGTCAAATGGTCAAATTCCAAGGTCAAACAAATAGAAATATATGTCTTACTATGTAATGAACGTGATATATAGAGTGGTATAGGATTACAGTAAGCAACAAAATGCCCTTTATGTGATCATCCGGAGGAACCGACTCGTTTATTTAATAAGATCAAAAGGTCGAAAGTCAACAACGACTTCATCAATGAGAAATTGTGGACAGAATCTATCTTTAAATGAGATGTTTGATGCAAAGGGAAGGAACTTATTGATTCCAGAGTCAAGAGTTCAAAGGTCAGAGAGAGTGATTAGTGTTCATTATCACGTGACCTCTATATAAGGTCAACAGATGAAAAAAAAACGTCATGTTAATGACTTTAAAGGGGTGAAGCTCTCTTCTTTGACTGTTGTGCACTTTGTCTGAAAAATTAGGCAAATGATGCTAATTTATGACCTAAGAAATAAAGATTTTTAGTCCCTTCTTTGATTTTTTTAAAAAAATAAGTCATGATATGAATATATTATCTTTTCACATTAATTGTAAATTTTGTACATGTAATTAGAAAATAAAAATTTAGTTCTAAAAAACAGTGATCAGAAAATACGACCTTCCTAATACATGCTATATACTTAAGGAGACTTTATCACATAAATCATGCGTGCATCACAAAGCAGTGTTATATGAAGCTCAATTAAAAAAAAAGACATACTTTTTGAACTCTTTACCTAATTTTAAAAGTACCACGTTACACACACAATAAAAAATCTTTCAAAGAGCAGAATTGTTCTATAACGTTTCATCTATCCCTGAGTATAGCAACCTTAAGTTATGTATTACTGTTACACAATGATAATATAAATTTGATTACTATTTAATTCAGTAATATTTCAAGTATTAATAATTATTACAAATAATGTTCAGTTTTATATTTTCGTAAATGTATTAACCATATTTTCTTAATGAATATTATGTATTTTCTGTCGATATTTAAGTCCTCTTTCTTGCTAAGATATTTAATAAATACAAACAACACGGGTTCGAATCCATTGCGGGACATTGACCCTCGAATTAGACAGTATAAGCCGAGGCCTCGCGTGCCGCAGTAGATGCTGGCACGAAAAAGATCCCCTCGCTGTTGAAGTTCTAAATTTGCAACCTTCTACCGGTAAGTGGTGGTATATCAATATCAGGGAAATATTCTTGAATGGACTTCAACCACAGACACCACAAACCCCACAACCCTGGACAAATTTTCTGCTTCTTATACACTGTCAGGAATCGGACAATGTACAAGAATGCGCTGCATGACCACTCCACTGACTGGCATCTGGTACTGATAAGATGTCTCCTACGCATCTTGTAAATTGATCATAAATACACGATCTCCTGTACATAGGAAGACAATGAAAAGCTAATTATTACTTTCACCAAGATTTCTTTGGTTGAACAGACAATGAAGATGAACTTTATATCCATTAAGATATGATTTGATGATATCTGACACTTACATTCAAAATAAAATCTGGAACGCACTTTGCATCAGTATCGTTAACCATCCTTTATAAACGAACAAGTGTAAGCTATGACTTTATTGTCATTTGAACCTTTGCTTGTTTGATATTGCCATTGACGATTTTATGATAAAGCTGTTTTCATACAGTGTAATACTGTATCATCGTCTTCCCTAATCAAGTGTAGTGTTATACATAATGATTCAAAATAAGACACTATCGATATTAAATTCTTAGACCTCAAATAGATTTTTTTTTTTTTTGGCAGAAAATTTGAAAATCTTTACTCAGTGACATAATCACCTAATAACTTTATCATTAAAAGATATTTTTTAAGAATTCTAAAAATTCAGACGTTTTCGTAATGGCACATTTTTGATGACCTTGCGGAAAACTTCTGAATGAATTGTCGGAATGTCATACATTTGCAAATCTATGTTAACACGACCTCTGGCTTTCGATGCGAGTGAATAATAACCCTAATTCATGCTTTCAAACGTCGTGCCGTAAAAATTTAGATAAGATCTTATTTGAGGTCTCTACACATGGTATATATAATGTGGAAAAGTGAAAGTTGTGATCTTATCAAAATATTTAGAAAATAGAAATTTAATATATACATCTCGAGAGTGTATATAGGCGCGATATAGGAACACTTAGCATGCTTTTGCACAAAATGTCTGTCCGTCGAAAAAGAGATATTGTGGGAAATGTAATAGTAGCTATCTTCCAGTATTTAGGCGGGCCGAGGAAAAGCTAAGATTTATGGTGAATACACATCGAGTTTTTTTTGTATATGTTACACAAGTAGAATTAAACAATAAATAAAAAATTATTTCTCAATAATTTCTCCGCTCTGCGCCCACAGTTGATTCTCTGATGTGACTATTATGTAACGAATGATTCGAAAACGCATTTCACTGTTAAAGCCTTAAGTGGCGTTAAGGAGATACGAATGTAAGAATGCTTAGAATTGTTTGGATTAAGAATGCATAGAATTGTTATCGTTCAATTGTTATCATTACGACTGTGCACCCTAAATGCCCTGAGGGAGGAGGAATTTCTTTGCAATTTTAAGTTGATGATGATACGGAAGAAAGTACAAGAAAAGAGTAGACACATGAGAAATGATTCATATAACTTCAACTGCATATGACAGGTCCACAGGATCAGGGTGGGCGGTGGGGGTGGGGGCTCCAATAATTTTGCGCCATTTCTCTCCTTCATGTATATATAGGAGAGAAAAGTAAATTCATTCTCGCTTCTCTACAGTAATCTCTGACGACTTCCCCTTTTTTGCA